AAGTTTGGGGTTCACCTTCCAGATGGTTTTCTGTGCCTTACCAGCATTTTAAACTGTTCTCTAAGAACGTACAATTTTTAAACACTAAGTTGGGATCAAACTATGCAGGCTGTGCTACGTGCAACAAGCTGACATCTGTGCACTTCCATTCCCTCACTTTTTTGAAATGAGTACACCCATAACCCATGAAGCTTTTCCTTTAACCCCTTGTGAAAGCACTAGAAGATGAAGGCAGTTAAAAACTCATTGCACACCCTCAAATAGTTACCATGTCCCGCAATTCCACTCATAAATATCTACCCCAGAAAAAATACACATATGTCCACACAAAATCTTGCATATAAATGTTTGCAGCAGCACCATTCACAACAGCCAAAGTGGAAACAACCCAAATATCCACCAACTACTGAATGGATAAATAAAATGTGGCATGTATTCACATAATGGAATATCATTCAGTAATAAAATGAATGAAATACTGATTCATGCCATAGCACAAACCAGGAACACATTATACTCAAAGAGGTCAGACACAAAAGGCTACATATTGTATGATTTTTGAAATATCCAGAATACACAAATTTATAGAAACAGAAAATAGATTGGTGGTTGCCAGGCATGGGGCAGGGGAGAGAATGGATGGAGAGTGATTGCTAATGCACAGAGGTTTCTTTTTGGAGGGATGCAAATGGCCTAACATTGGTTGTGGTGATGGGCGTACAACTCTGAATAGACTAGGAACTATTGAAATGTACACTTTAAACCAGGTAACTGTACAGTATGTCAACTGTATCTCAACACAGTGGTTCTTTCTTTAAAGGGGCACTTTGGTGGCTCAGTAGGTTGAGCGTCCTGCTCTTGATTTTGGCTCAGGTCATGATCTCACAGTTTGTGAGTTTCAGCCCTGTGCTGGGCTTTGTGCTGACAGCAGAGCCTGCTTGGGATTCTCTCTGTCCCTCTTCCACTCATGTTCTCTCTCTCTCAAAATAAATAAATTTAAAAAAAAAAAGAGAGAGATTAGGTGGGATATTACAATAATGTAATGCTCAAGTTATACACAGTTTATATGCAATTAAGCATTGGGGATGAATACATTAATAAAGAATGTACCAACCAAAGAAAAGTCACTTTTTGTCTTCCCCTGCACATCGTAAGAGCTCAGGAAGTAATCACTGAAACTGACTGGGCAATTGTATTCACATGAAAGCCAAATATTAAAAAACAAAACAAAAACTCGATGTTTAACAACACACACAAAAATCAAGTTTTTATTAAAAACACGAGATTCACTTTAAGAAATGCTACCCATACGTGTTTATTACCCACTTCATCTCCCTCTTAAAATACTTTTCCCAGGCCAGTGCTGAACCACAGCCCAAACCCACTCACCACATTTCAAACTAAGTGGGAAATGTACACTAGACAGTGCACAGAAGCAATTGCATGCCACACTGACTGGACTATAAGCAAGTTTACTGCAATTTCTGGGCCTTAACATCATGGTTAAAATGCACATTCCTTGTAAGTCACTGCTGACCAACTATGTCCACTCCTAACAATATTAAGAGAAATTATTTGCATTTGTTATTAAGGACACGACAAATTCTTTTTTAAATTTTAAAAATGTTTATTTTTCAGAGAGAAAGAGAGACAGCAAGCAAGCGAGGAGGTGAGGGGCAGAGAGAGTGAGAGAGTGAGAGTGAGAGAAGAGAGTGAGAGAGAGAGACCTGAGGAAGACACAGAATCCAAAGCAGGCTCCAGGCTCTGAGTTGTCAGCCCAGAGCCCTATGCGGGGCTCGAACCCACAAACTGTGAGATCATGACCTGCGCTGAAGTCAGACACTTAACTGAGCCACCCAGGTGTCCCAGGACATGCCAAATTCTTGCTCACTTATCTTCCCAGCTTGTTCACTCTAAGAATACTTTAGGTCCTCTTCTAGACGCTGAGGATACAACAGGGAATTAAAATAGGTAAAACCAAGCAAACAAAGCCCTGCCCGCAAGGAACTCACATTCCATTAAAAAATTAAAATAACTTCAAATTTTATTTTTATAGACTCCTGTTCAATGATTTAAAAATACCCGGTCAGCATCTGCAAAGAATCCCCAATATTCTCAATTTGCAAACATGCAGTCTTTGCTAAACAGCAAAATTCACAAAGATCTATGAAATATTAGCAGCAGTTTCCAATGTCAAGCTTTTCTTTCCTTCTTATACATGTGCTGGGAACATAAAGACAAACATCTACTTTATAAGTTCATTCAAAATCAGAAATCAAAACACTCTATAATTGACACAGATGACAGGGGGTTGTCAAAAGATTTAACAGCGCAAGAGTCTACAAATCACTGAAGTACCAAATGGTTTTTGCTTTAAATTAAGAACAAGGACTCCAATCTCCTTCTAGATCTGTAAATCTCAAGTCATTCAATAACCTGAATTGTGTAACAGAAAAATATTGCATCCCCCCAACCTTAAAAAACAAAAGTGCAATTTAGTACAAAGATTACAACAACCTGCTCAAAAAAGTAACTTTTGGAAACAAAGTCTAAATTCCTTTGAACAATTCAATAATTTAGTGGAAACATTACAAAGTAGCCAACAATTCTCTTGCAGTTCTTAGGTAGTTTTTTTCCCCCCTCCTTATCACCATCCAAGCTAGGGAAGCTAGCCCTATCAGCAACCCAGAACAACCAACCTGTCCTTAAAATGTAGCCACTTTGAAGTTCCAACGTTCTTCTGTAGGCAGAGCTCCGGGCCTTCAGCAAACTGGCTGTGACTGAATTCCAGCCAGATACACAGAGGTGTAATAAGCTCGTCTCCGTCCAGTTAAAACCAACTAAAATGATTTTATTAAGAGCTTTACTCCACAGCTTGACCTCTTAGATACTATGTTTCCCACCAAGAAAAGGGGTATGGTGGATAACAGGGGAGCAATGCATTTTGTTTCAGATCATGCTTTTCCTTCTAGATTTAGTCAATGGGAACCATCTGAGAGGTTTATCTTCTCCAGGTTGAATTTTGGGGTAGAAGAGCTTGGTTATCTATAATACCTTGAAGGAAAGATCATCACCATCCAAAATAAACTGAAAGGAATGTTTTATTAAATTACTGGCAAGACGATAAAACAGACTGTACCACCACCCAAAACCTACTTGGAACTGAAAATGAAAACGTTCATAAATACTGTCGAGTATAGCTTTACCACTTACAAGACTACAAATTCTAAGGGCTAACAACTCAAGGAACTTGACAGCCCCATTCATAAAAAATCTCCCAACCATTATTATACTACCAAAGAGCCACTGGCTTAGAGGTACAGAGATTTGGTTTTTGTAAACACGGACAGGTAGAGCCCTTTCCAAGGGAAGCAAAGACACTTCAATTCTCATAAAGCACAAACTCCAAGAGAATACTTCTTGCATCCAACAAAACTGAACCCAAAGACCACTTCTTGCACACACAAAACTGAACCCAAAGACCAAGACCATAAACCTCGCTAGGTTGCAGAAAACACGGAGTAAAAAATAAAAATAACATTTCAAAAAACAATGCGTGGTCCTGAGTAAATGGGAGGTCAGCCACTCAGCAAAAGCACATGACTCATCCACGGGCCTGAATGCAAGTATTTACACTGTCCACTATACCAAACTGGGATTTCCCATTTTCATCCAAGGCCGGGCCTTGGGGGCAGCCGGGTAAAGTTATGCTGTTTCCGTTTTTTTTTTTTTTTTGGGGGGGTCATTTTATTTCGCTGAATCACAACTCCCCCACATCCCCACCCCAAACCACCACCCCACACAACACGGCGAACAGAAGAGGCCGTGGCAAGGACGCCAGCGAGCACCGACCGAGCAAAACAAAGCGCCCAGCGCACGGCTGCCAGGCTGGGAGTGGGTGGGTAAAGGGGGTCAGGCTCGCCCCACACAGCACCGCTCCCAACCCCGGGGGTGTCTCGGGGGAGACGTGCAGCGGCAGTCTCCTCCCTCCCCCTGGGGACCAGACCCATTCTCCGCAGAGCTCCGGGGACCGCCGGGAAGGCGAGGAAATGGGGGCGGGGGCGCGCTGCCCCAGCTCGGGCAGGAGGACCCAGGCCACAGCGGAGAGCGCGCTGAGCCCGGCCCACGTGAGCGCCTGGGCAGCGGCCGAGCCCGCCCCGGGGGACCGCAGCCGGGGACAACGGCGCCCGCGGCCACCACGCCGGGCCCCGACTTACCGGGGCCGGGCGCGCCGCGGAGCCCGCGGCGGCCGCTTCCTCCTCCTCCTCCTCCTCACTTGACAAAATGGCGGCGGCAGGAAGTGCCGGGCGCCTCGGCCCGCCCCCCGCCCGCCCCCGGCCACCCGCCCCGCCGCGGCGCCCGCGCCCCCCGCCCGCGCCCCCGCCCCGCCAGCCGGCCCAAGCCGCGGGGCGGCGGCGCCAACGGCCGAGCACCCGCGAGCGGCCCGGCCACTCCGACGCCAACGGCGCAGGCGGCCCCAGCCGGGCGCAAGCGGCACCGCGCGCGGACGCGGGAGGCCCGCAGGCCCGAGCCCGCGTCGCCCCGGCCTCTCCGCCCCCGCGCCGCGCCGATGGCGTAGGTGCTGGCGCACCGGCCCCATTACGCAATGCAGGTTACGCGGGCCGCGCCGCGGGTCCCCGCCGGCCGCCCCGCGCCGCCCGCCGCCCCGAAGGGCACCGGTCCTCACCTGAGACGCTAGGCCGCACGCCGCCCCCGCCGGCCGCCGCCGCCGCCGCCCCCTCCTCTTCGGGCTGCCTGCGCGGCGCCGGGGCGCGCCCGCCGCGCCCGCCGCTCCGCCGCGCTCACAGGCCCCGCTCGCCTGCGGGCACTGCCGGCAGCCGCTGCCGCCGCAGCCACCGCTTCGGCTCCTCGGCTGCGGGAGAGCAGAACAAACAGCCCAGCCGCCGCCGCCGCCGCCGCCGCCGCCGCCAGCGCACTGACGTCACCGCGTACGCTGCGCGCGCGGCCCCCCGCCGCCGCCCGGCGTGCGCGTCCCGCGACCGCGCCCGGCGCCAGCGAGCTCCGGAGAGCTGGCGGGCTCGAGGTGAGTAGCTGAGCGGGGGGAGCGGTGGCGGGCGCGCGGGGGAGGGGGGGACCCCTGGAAGGGAGGGTGCAGGGATCCGGCAGACAGAGGGAGTAGACCCTGCAGACCGAGGGAGAGGACCGAGGAGAGACCCCTCAGGTTGAAGGCAGGGACTGAGAAAAAGATCTGGAGGCTGAGAGAGAGGTGCAAAATGTAAGAAGGGTCTGCCGAGGAGACCCTCAGCGACAGGGACGAAGGTGTGGAAAGACCCCAGAGACTCGTGCAGAGGCCGAGTAGGGCCCCTCATCCCCGGGTGGGAAGGCGGCAGTGTGCTGAGGGACGCTGGGACGCTTCGGTCCGCGAGCCGCGGCGGGGGTGCGGGGCCGGGCGCAGGGAGGGGGCGGAGGCGACGGTGCGCGGTGCCGGCGGCGTCTGTCCCCGCCCGTCGCCGCTGGCGTCCGAGGGCCGGGAGCGCGGTCCCTCCAGCCGCCCCCGCCCCGGCCCGGAGACCCGCGGAGCAGGTCCGCTCCACGGGGCCGGGGGTTTAGGGGTTAGGTCGCTTGCGGTTTAAAAAGAGGATTCTGGCGATGCCTGGCCGGCTCAGTCGGTGGAGCGTGCGACTCTCGGTGTGTCTGGGTCGTGAGTTCGAGCCCCACGTTGAGCGGAGAGCTTACTTAAAAAAAAAAAAATCAACTTTAAAAAAGAAAATAAAATGATGACCCTGTGAGGTGTTTAAACGGAGAAGCATCACCTTTCCCTTTTGCCCTTAGCTTCACTCTTGTAGCGTTTTTATTCCTATCGTTTAGAAATCGCAAATGCCGTTCTTCTATAAAAAGTCTAAAAATTCTCCCGACGGCCCCTTCGTTCAGAATATATTAATAGAGAATAGCAGTCAGATGGTTTTGTCTCTGTCGTGGTGTTCGCTCACTCTTCAAGGGCAATCAGCGCTGTTGGGTCCGAGCAAAGTGAAGACTTAATTGCATCCGTTACTTTAGCAAAGCATGAGATAACAAATAGTTAAGTGCAAGAAATAAGGGAAGTGACTGCAACTGATTTATTAGGCAGCTGCCTTCTAATTATGTATTACAGAATATTGAAGTTTGTGAGTATCTTCTGGCTCCGTATTTTGCACACTCAACAATTTGTGGAAGAGGGTCAGAAAGGGGAAAAGAATAAGAAGGTATATGCAGACTATGTGAATATGGAATAACAACTTTTTTAAAGAAAACTAGAATATATCCATTTTAAGCTGTCAATCCCATGGTTGTCTTCTTGCATTATCTACTTAATTTATTGTTGTTTCTGGTAATGTTTTTGGAAGTAATTTGGAGCCACCAGTTTGCAAGTCACATAAAATTTTTGGTTTTTACTCCACAGCCACACGTCATTTTAGACAGAATTTACAAACTACAAAGGCAGTTCCAAGAGCTTTTAAAACAAGTGTCCTCTTTCTGTCTTCCATAGGGTGGAGCCTAACTCCTCACAGGGAGCCTGGACTCAGAAAATATTTATCTGGTTAAATTAGTTTGATAAAAAATTTTGTTTTTTAATAGTTCACAATTTTGAATAAGTTCTTATTGTTCTCTCTTGTTATTACTGTGTTTGCAATATTAAAGGCCAGAAGAGATTAATAAAAATATTAAGGAATGAGCCATGAAGTACATACTGTAATTTTGTATGGCTGTAAATATATATTCATTTATAAAAAACATTTTTTTTTAAACTTTTTTTTTTTAATGTTTTATTTATTTCTAGGAGAGAGAGAGAGACAGCGTGAGCAGGAGAGGGTCAGAGAGAGAAGGAGACACAGAATCTGAAACAGGCTCCAGGCTCTGAGCTGGCAGTCAGCACAGAGCCCGACGCGGGGCTCGAATCCACGAACCGCGAGATCATGACCTAAGCGAAAGTCGGACGCTTAACCGACTAAGCCACCCAGGCACCCCTATAAAAAACATTTTTAATGTTTATTTATTTTTGAGAGACAGACTGAGCATGAGCAGGGGAGGGGACAGAGAGAGAGGGAGACACAGAATCGGAAGCAGGCTCCAGGCTCCGAGCTGTCAGCACAGAGCCCGACGCAGGGCTCAATCACGACCTGAGCTGAAGTTGGATGCTTAACTGACTGAGCCACCCAGGCGCCCCTGTATTATTCATTTTAAATAAAATAACACGTGAAACCATTCAACCTGAAAATTACAAAAGAATATAGAGGAAAAATGAAGTATCCCTCTTATCTCTTCCCCTCCCTCGCCAGTGTAACCACTATTATCTCTTCCGTGCGTATTAGACCTGTGCTGTCTGATAGGACCACGCAAGGCTATTGAGAGTTTGAAATGTAGCTGGCCCAAATTGAGATGCACTGTAAGTGTAAAATACACATTGCACTTCAAAGATTTAATATTTAAAAAAATGTAAAATATCTCTTCTTAATTTTTATGTTGATTACATGTTGAAATAATGTTTTATATATTGGGATAAATAAAATATTTAATTTTAGCTGTGGTTTTTTTTTTTTTTTTTAACGTTTATTTATTTATTTTTGAGAGGAACAGAAAGAGAGTGAGCAGGGGAGGGGCAGAGAGAGAGGAAGACAGAGAATCCCAAGCAGGCTTCTCGCTGTCAGTGCAGAGCCAGACACGGGACTCGAACTCACAATCCATGAGATCATGACCTAAGCTGAAACCGAAAGTTGGATGCTTAACTGACTGAGCCATCCAGGTGCCCCTCTTTTTACTTTTTTTTTTTTTTATAAATTTTTTTTTTTTAATGTTTTATTTATTTCTAGGAGAGAGAGAGAGAGACAGCGTGAGCAGGGGAGGGTCAGAGAGAGAGGGAGTCACAGACTGAAACAGGCTCCAGGCTCCGAGCTGGCAGTCAGCACAGAGCCCGACGCGGGGCTCGAACCCACGAACTGCGAGATCATGACCTAAGCGAAAGTCGGACGCTTAACCGACTAAGCCACCCAGGCGCCCCTCTTTTTACTTTTTTAATGAAACTACGAGAAAACATAAAATTACACGTGCAGCTTGCAAAATATTTGTATTGGACAGCACTGGTCTAGAGGGGTGATTTTTGGTTTGTTTTCATTTTGTTTTGTTTTGGTCTTTTTGTGTGTGAGAGACATTTTATTTATTTTTTTAAAGTAACCTCTATCCCCACTGTAGGGGGCTTAAACTCACAGCCTCAAGATCAAGAGTCACTTGCTCTACCAACCCAGCCAGCCAGTTGTGTCCCTCCCCCCCTTTTTTTAAGGTATAGTTGACACACAATGTTATATTAGTTTCAGGTGTACAACATAGTGATTCCACAATTTCATACACCTTCTAGACTTTTTTATGCATCAATACGTATCTACATATAGAAATAGTTGGGTTGTTATAAAAGATAATTTTGTATTTGTTTATTTGTAACATGCTTTTTCTCATTTAATACATTTTAGAAGCCATTCCACATGAATACTCCCAGATCTGCCTAACTGAGAGATAACACCAAGATGACACCTATCTGATGACTGATCTGGTATGGATTGATCATAATTTATTTAGCCATTTTCCTATTAACATTTAATTCATTTCTAGTTTTTCATCATAATAGTATTACAGTGAATATCCTATACATTTACCATTTGTTTTTCATACCTGCCAGTATTATTCCAGATTAAAAGAATAGGGGCACTGGGGCACATGGGTAACTCAGTCAGTTAAGCATCCAGCTCTAGATTTTCGCTCACACCATGATCTCATGGTTTGTGAGATCAAGCCCCACATCAGGCTCTGCACTGACAACCTATAGCCTGCTTGGGATTTTCTCTTCTCTCCCTCTCTCTCTTCCTCTCCCCTGTTCAAGCTCGCTTTCTCTGAAAATAGATAGATATTTAAGAAAAAAGAAGAGGGGTGCCTGGCTGGCTCAGTTGGTGGAGCATGTGACTCTTGATCTTGGGGTTGTGGGTTTAAGCCCCACGCTGGGTGTAGTGATTGCTTAAAAATAAAAAATAATAATAGGGGTGCCTGGGTGGCTCAGTCAGTTAAGTGTCCAGCTTTGGCTCAGGTCATGATCTTGCAGTTTGTGGGTTTGAGCCCACCTCAGGCTCTATGCTGATAGCTCAGAGCCTAGAGCCTGCTTCAGAGCCTGTCTCCCTCTCTCTGTCCCTCCCTTGCTCGAGCTATCTCCCTCTCTCAAAAGTATATAATCATTAAAATAATAATAATAATAATAAACTATATAGTGTTTTCTTTTTTTTTTTTTTTTTGTTGAACTGAATCTTTTTTTTTTTTAATGTTTTTTTTTCTTTTTATTTCTAGGAGATAGAGACAGTGTGAGCAGGGGAGGGTCAGAGAGAGAGGGAGTCACAGACTCTGAAACAGGCTCCAGGCTCTGAGCTGGCAGTCAGCACAGAGCCCGACGCGGGGCCCGAACCCACGAACCGCGAGATCATGACCTAAGCGAAAGTCGGACGCTTAACCGACTAAGCCACTCAGGCGCCCCTATAGTGTTTTCTTAAAAGCAGGGACAAATTTATAAACCAAATAAGCTTTGGAAAAACTGGAAGTGTTTAATTTCTTAGGGCCTGAATCCATGCCCACTTTCAAATGAGAACTTGCCAGTGAAGTTAGATTCTAGAATTTATAGTTAGGGCCTAGAGATGGTGAGGGACTCACCCAAGATTGCGCAAGATTGCACAGTTTAGACCTCATATCCCCTGACTCCATGAACACTGCCTGCATCTTTAATCTAGCTCCAGAGTTGACAGTTTTTTTCAATATTTAAAAAAAAAAAAAAGATAGTCACCATTCTATGCTTTGTGGGCCATACAATCTATAACATTGCCAATCTTTGGAACTCTGCCATTATAGCACAAAAAGTAGCTGTGGTTAATATATAAACAAATGGGTGTAGCTTCATCCCAATAAAATGTTACATATACTAAAATTAAGATTTCATGCAGATTTCAGGAATTGCAAAATATTATTCTTTTAACCGACTCTCCCTCTTTCTTTCTTTCTTTCTTTCTTTCTTTCTTTCTTTCTTTCTTTCTTTCTTTCTTTCTTTCTTTCTCTTTCTTTCTCTCTCTCTCTCTCTCTCTCTCTCATTTTGTTTTTTAGGACTTTATTGTTTTAAGTAATCTCTACACCCAACCCAGGACTCAAACTTACAATCCTGAGGTCAAGAGTCTCATACTGTACTGACTGAGCCAGCCAGGTGCCCTGATTTTTTTCCCCAGCCTTTTAAAAATATAAAAACCACTCTTTGCTGGAAGGCTATACAGACAGCAGTCCAGATTTGTCCCATAGACAGTAGTTTGCTGATCCCTGCCTTAGACTTGAGAGTCTAGGAAATTTATTTACCATTATATAGAAGGTATTCTACTTGCATTTTTTTGTTAATTCATTTTTTTTAGCAGTTTTAGGTTTATGTTAAAATTAAGTGGAAAGTCCAGAGTTCCCATATACTGTCTTCCCCTCTCGACTTCCCCCATTATTAACATGAATAGTGTGGTCTATTTGTTACAGTCGATGAGCCAATATGGATATGTGATTATTAACTAAAGTCCATAGTTTTCATTAAGGCTCATTCTTCATGTCATATAGTCTCATATGTGAGTTTTGACAAATCTGTAATAACATGTGTCCACCAGTTTGCTTGCCAATGTTTAACTCCTAAATTAGGAACAAAATAAGATTCAGAATAGAGCACTGCCATTCTGTCAGTCACAAACAGGTGCTTGATAGCCCTAAGGGTAATTTTTAGTTTCTGTACTTCATTAATTTGTATTTTGCTGTGTGTTTGCTTAGTTTTGAAGTGTTTGACAAACATCACTCACTGTACCACTCAAACTAATGAGATGCTGGAAGACCTAGTGTGAAGAGCTATATAATTGGAATTAAGAAAGTAAGTGATGGGGCGCCTGAGTGGCTCAGTCGGTTAAGTGTCCGACTTCAGCTCAGGTCATGATCTTGTGGTTCGTGGGTTCGAGCCCCATGTCAGGCTCTGTGCTGACAGCTCAGAGCCTGGAGCCTGCTTCGAAATCTGTGTGTGTGTCTCTCTCTGCCCTTCCCCTGCTTCGGCTTGTCTGTCTCCCTCTCTCTCTCTGCTCCTCTCTTGCTCACACTCTGTGTCTGTCACTCTCTCAAAAATAAATACACATTAAAAAAATTTTTTTAAGTGATAAAAAGCCTGAAAGTGGAAAGAAAATGCAGATGTTGTACATGGGATAAAACTGCTCAAGACGAAGAGATACACAGGTCAAAGACAATGCTAGCGGGAGTGTTTATATACTGCTCATCCTCCGGTCATTTTGGAAAATAGTATGGTCTTTATCTGGCGAAGTTGAGGCTCTGCGTTGAACTTCATGGCCCACTGATTCCAGTCCCTGAACCTTGCTGGTATACTGGAGAAGGTTCAGAACAGCTCTGTTCCAAAGACACCACCCTGAAGACAAGCCCGGTGTTCACCCAGGGCAGGATGTGTAGATTGTAATGTAATGAAAATGAACAAACCAACCACAGCCACACGCGACAACAGGGGTAAATCTTGCAAGCATAATGGGAAATCAAAGAAGGAAGGCCTGTGTGCTTATGTGATGGTTCTGTTGCTATGTTGATTTTTTTTTAAATGTTTATTTTTGAGAGAGTAAGAGACAGAGGGAGACACAGAATCTGAAGCAGCCTCCAGGCTCTGAGCTGGCAGTATAGAGCCCAACACAGGGCTCGAACTCACAAACTGTGAGATTATGAGCTGAGCCAAAGTCAGGTGCCCAACCAGCTGAGCCACCCAGGCGCCCCACTATGTTGATTTTTAAAACAAGAATGGACTGAAGTTTTCAAGGAAATAAATCTATCAAGAAAATCAAGTGGTCACCAGTGGTTGCCTGAAAGGATGACCCGGAAGGGCTGAGGGGGTGGGTGGGTATGGCCAATATCTGAGGTGTGGCAGTATTCTGTTTCTTTTTTAAAAATGTATTTTCCAAATCAAAGACCTGGCATGGCCCTGCTGATTCATCTGCACAAGTTCTACCCTGTTACTTTGTTTGTTTGTTTATTTAAGTAAACTAGCCCCCACGTGGGGCCGGAACTCAGGACTCCAAGATCAAGAGTCACTGCTCTACTGACTGCCAGCCAGGTGGCCCTATTACATTTATAAGCGTATGGTAGTATGGTACTGTTAACTATAAGCGCAGTGTTGCATAGGACTTCTCTAGAGCTTTTTCTTCTTGCGTGAAGGAAAAGTGTTGTGCTTTTTCCGTGCGTTAACTTTGTAATTATTCATTCAGCTGTACCTGTGTTTTATGCACATTTTGTGTTCTGCTTCAATTTTTTTTTGCAAGAATGGATGATATATACATAAAGAAAACTGTGCCTGAGCGAGAGAAGTAAATAGAAAAGGCAGATGATGAGGTTGAAATGCACAAACTTCTGAATGTATGGCCAGGAAATAAGCAACATCATAAGACACCTTCCAGTTTGAGACTCACACAGAAGGCTGGTTATGCCAAACTGTAGAGACTGCTCAAAAGCGTTGCTGGTAAAATTTTGGTCATGAGCCACTGACAGTGCCAGGGTTCAAGGCCCTGTGGAATCATCATGGCATCAGAATGGGTGGCAATGAGCCAAGTGAGGCTGTTCCGACTGCTAAAAAACAATTCTTTGGCATTTGCTGAGCAAGGGAAGGTTTCTGGACCAATTTTCACCATGGTTGGAACCAGGCCATTGTGGGGAAGGATGCATGGTAGAACATATTTTAGCAGGGACTCCACGAATTAGGCTTGCTTTAAACTTTGGTGGGAATAACCAGTGGTCATCGGTGTAAGTACACGTCAGGACTGAAAGCCTCCATCTCTCTTGTTCCTTTCTTCTTCAAGAAAAGTGGGCTGTTGCCTCATTTGTGTATTAGAAAGGGATTTACATCTGGATTTAGATAATCCTAATCAGATAATTATCTGATAGGCAACTTTCAAAGATGGCCCGCAGTGATTCCCCACCTTCTGGTATTCACATCCTTGTGTAATCTCCCGTTGAGTGTGGGCTGGACCTAGTGATTTCCTGGTAATGATACAGAAGACTGACTTTCATCTGGTTCATGTGTTTTGCTTTCTCAGCTGGCACACTTTCGTGAAGCAAGCTGCTGTATCAGAGGCTGAGGGTGGCTTCTGGTCAATAGCCAGCAAGGAGCCAAAGCCCTCCTTCAGTCCAGCAGCTGCAAGGAACTTAGTTCTGCTAACCACCACGTTGTCAACATTGAAGGGATCACCTTCCATAGTCAAGCCTTCACATGAGACCGCAGCCTTGGCCAACATTTTGCAGCTCTGTAATTCCAACTAAGGACTCCGCTAAGCATTCAACTCTTAATCTCAGCTCAGATCTTGATCTTAGGGTTGTGAGTTCAAGCCCTGTGTTGGGCTCCACGCTTAAAAAAAAAAAAAAATTCCCAGCAGCACTTTTCACAACAGTCAATATGTGGAAACAACTTAAATGTCCATTACTGGATGACTGGATAAACCAACGTGGTATATACATATTATTCAGCCATAAAAATAAATGATGTACTGATACCAGCTACAGCAAGGAGGAACCTCAAAAACATGCTTCGTGAAAGAAGTCATACTGAAAAGGTGTATTGAATGGTTCCCTCTACATGAAATAGCCTGACTACATAAATCCAGAGACAGCAGATTAGAGGTTCTCAGGGGTTGGGCGGAGGAATGGTGTTACTGAGAATGGGGATATAGTTTCCTTTAAAGGTGAGGAAAACATCTTGGAACCAGTTATAGGTGATGGCTGCCCCAACATTGTGAGTTTACCACATGCCACTGCATTGTCCACCTTAATGACTGAACCACCCAGGCACCTTTTTTTTTTTTATTTTTTTTTTTGAGAGTACAGTGTCCACTTTAAAATGGTTAATGGAGGAACACCTGGCTCGCTCAGTGGAGCACACAACTCTTGATCTCATGATTGTAAGTTCCATCCCTACATTGGGTGTAGAGAATACTTTGAAATATTTTAGGGGCGCCTGGGTGGCTCATCCAGTTAAGCATCTGACTATTGGTTTTGGCTTACTCATGATCACCTGGTTCATGAATTCGAGCCTTGTATTGGGGCTGTTTGGGAATCCCCTGCTTGGGATTCTCTCTGCCCCTTCCTTGCTCATGAACACATGCTCTCTCTCTAAATCGTCTTTTTTAAAAAATAAAATCTCTTAGGGGTGCCTGGGTGGTTCAGTTGGTTGAGCCTCCAGCTCTTGATTTCCACTTAGGTCATGATCCCAGGGTTGTGGGATGGAACCCCATGCAGGGCTCTGCACTGAGTGTGGAACCTCCTTAAGATTCTCTCCCCCACAATCGTACATGTGCTCTCTCAAGTATTTTGGGGGCCTCTGGGTGTCTCAGGTAAGTATCCCACTTCACCTTAGGTCATGATCTCATGGTTTGTGGGTTTGAGCCCTGCATCAGGCTCTGTGCTGACAGCTCAGAGCATGGAGCCCATTTAGGATTCTGTTGTCTCCCTCTTTTCCTGCCCCTCCCCTGCTCGTGCTCTGTATCTCCTTCAAACATAAATAAACGTCAAAAAATTTTTAATAAAATCTTTAAAAAATTTAAGTGAATGGCTCATTTTGTTGTATTTTACCTCTAACAAAGAAGAATGTTAAACTCAAATTTTTTTCAACAGTGCCAAATGTTTATCTCATTCATCTGACACCCACAGCCATGAGTGGATTGCCCCCTACCCCACTATATTCTCCCCCAAACTGAATTCTAATTTATCTATCTAAAGTGTACCTGCACCTGATAGTTTTGAGAAGAGTTATGTAGACTAAGTCCGCTTGTGGAAAACCAGCCTCACTGGCCCTATCTTGTAGAAGTAAAGAAGTGGCCCCATATTTTCTCAATGATCCAAGAGCCATCACCGTGAAGTGTAAAGCCACACCGTGGGTTTTTCCCATGCCCATCTGTTTACTAAAGTGCCCCAAGGAGGCTACTACCCCCCACCCCCCCCAAATGCTAAAAAGCTCTTCTGTTTATTCTTTAGTTCCTGAACTTTCCTGTGCCTGTCTCTCATCACTACTGGCCACAGTTGTGTGCAGGGACCACTTTCAGCCAGGTTGTCAGGCAGTGGAAATGGTTTTTTTTTATGGTCCAAAACTTAATGGGAGAGGGCGTAGTAATACTAATGACTACGCACTCTTTTAGGAATCTCTACACCTAGGGTGGGGCTTGAGTCGCATGCTCTTCCAACAAGCCAGCCACCCCGATAATGTACTCCTGAATGAGCACTTTGCTCTTTACACTGTGTTGTCTACCCTTGAGCGCCTGCATTATTTTCATAAAAACTCCATGAAATCACACAAGCCCACAGTAGGGATGACATGAAGTTGAAATCAGCCTATTTCTAAGATCTGTCTGGGAAGAGCAGGGATGGCCAAATTCTCTAAACCCCTTAATAAATGGTGTTCTAGGTAAAGTTTATGGCCATTGGTGTCTCACAGATATGTGCATGATTTGGGTACCTGCATGTCTGACCGGTGACCCTAAAAGTTACTTGACCTCCCCCTCCAGCTTCTCCTCTGCCGGTGGAAATAACGGAAGGGAGGAAGCGTGCGGCTTATTCCTGTCCTCTCAGGAGGCAGAAGGGGATCCCTTTGTGCAATCCAGGTAGTTACTCCCATCTCGGGGAATGAGGGCCTGGTTTAAGGTAAGCTGAGGAAGAACACGATTCGTGTCACTTCAGTTGGGCGTGGAAGGTCTGTACATTTACAAGAGAAACAAAACACAACAGTTTCAGTTTTGTCATCCTTTTTCAGACTACTGATGTTCAGTGCCACCAACCTTTTTGCCTCAAGAGAAGAGACTTCGAAGGGCACGGACAAACTAAGGCCCCTGTGTCTAGTAGTGACCACACAATTCAGACACTGCTTTCTTGCTTACGGAGCAATTTATTTGTTTCTAGTTCTTATATTGACTTTTCATAAATATTTATCTCATTTCTGATAAAGCTCCTGGGGGGGGGGGGCATATCTTACTTTTATCAGGGATTAGCACCTGGTCAAGTCTTTTACCATCTAGTAAATTCCCCCAGGCCAATGCTTCCCCGAGTGACACAGTTCAGAGCTTTGTAGGGACACAGACCCAGCAGTATCATTTCAAAAGGGAAGCGTCTTTGAATTCTTTTGATTATATCAAAGTATAACCTGCTTGCTACCCTTTAACACATGCTAACTTTCCTTTCCCAGATTTCTAAACCTCCAAAGGGATAGTATTTATCTGAAATGTGTTTATTTCACTGTATTTATTTCTTACACACAGCATCTACCTATGGCAATTTATATTTGCTTTCTACTCATGGGAGTGACACCAAGTTTTTTTTTTAAATATATTTAAGCAGAAGCAACTCATTTGAAAGGAAGGAAAAAAAAAAAAACACCCCTGAAACAAAGGTGGAACACAAATGAGGTAAAAAAACAAAAACTATAAAGGTAATTCACTGAAGACTAAAGCTCGGGAAAATAATGCCCTAGGCAAGATGTCATTCTTGGGGGGGGGGGGGGGCGCGTCCAAGGGTGCAGGTCTGTCAGGCTCATGAGGCCTTCGAGTTCACTGATGTCACAGAACCAACATCCTGTTAAGGAGATTCTGCTGCCACATCTTGTGAGGGTCACACACCACACACGGTGCGCGCTGCCAAAGCAGGTCAAAAACTGAAGCCACAGCAAATTCTTAAAACTTAAAAAAAAAAAAAAACTTTATAAAATAAGACAGACCCTAGTATTAAGCTGCTCTCAGAAAATAATAACAAAAAGGGCAATCAGCCAGGTGCTATATTTAACAAGCAAAATATCAAAATCTAATTACCCAACTTTTATTACTCCGACTGCAATGTAGACAGATTTCACAGCCACATGGGGGAACGTGCGACTCCTGCAACCTTGACACCGAGGCAGAGAGCCGTACAACCTGTAACACAAGCCCGCGAGGTACACTGTTTGGAAGGAAACGGCTGGGTCTCTTCACCAAAGTTTCCAGCATATTCCAGTAACACACCCTAGCACTGCTTAGAACAAAAGGAGAGCGAGCAACGTGTGTCTGAAACGCATCCCCCGCAGCGGGGAGGAGGCTCAGTCTGTGGGGACGGCCCCTTCGGGCTCCGCATCCACCTGCTCCTCCCCGGCTCCCGCCGCAGCCGGGCCCGGAGCAGGGACTACCTCGGCGCCCTCTGCCGCCACTTCACCTCCGGCTTCCGCGGTCTCACTGCCGGCCTGGGCAGCTTCACCTCCAGCCTCTGCTTCGGTGCTGCCCTTCTCAGGGGCCGTGCCACACGGCGTCTCCGCTTCTGCCAGCTGTTCGGAGTGAGGACCACGAGGGGCCTCCGCCGAGTCCACGGGGCCTTCCCCTGCGGCCGGCACCTCGGTGCTTTCCGAAGCAGGTGCTCCTGCCCCGTCTACGGCTCTCACTGCTGCAGTAATAACCTCGGCTAAGACCTCCGCAGCCACCTCTTCAGGGGTCTCTTCCTTGTCCTCAGCTACTAAGTTGTCATCTCCTTCGACTTCTGGATCAACGGCTTCATTGGTGAAGGGGTCTTCCCCCTGGCCAAGGAGAGGAAAAGGTCAGTGCGGCCTGAAGAACTGTCCGGGTGAGAGGCTGAAGGAAGCCAGAGAAACACCTTCAACTCCAGCAGGGGAGTTAATCCTATAGGTGCTCAGGGCCTCTGAGTCCAGAAAAGTCATCTCAGAAAAGCTCCACTACAACTGTTTTCCCCTTTAACTTCCGTTTTCCTATTTAGTTAGCTGGGGCGTATGGTATAAGCAGAATAAGGGGATATTCTTTTTTTTTTTTTTTTTTTTTATATTTTTTTATTTCTAGGAGAGAGAGACACAGACAGACAGACACAGCGTGAGCAGGGGAGGGTCAGAGAGAGAGGGAGATACAGAATCTGAAACAGGCTCCAGGCTCTGAGCTAGCTGTCAGCACAGAGCCGGACGCGGGGCTCGAACCCACGAACCGCAAGATCATGACCTAAGCGAAAGTCGGACGCTTAACCGACTAAGCCACCCAGGCGCCCCTGGGGATATTCTTATTTTTAATATTAGTAATTTCAATCTTCGCAACGGGTTTTTTGAAAGATGTACTTTTCCCACCTCCTTCAAAGGCTTTTTAAAATTTAGACTGAAGTATTTACAAATATTTAACTCAATAGGGGCGCCTGGGCAGCTCAGTCAGTTAAGCGTCGACGTCGGCTCAGGTCATGATTTCACGGTTCATGGGTTTGTGCCCCACATCGGGCTCTGTGCTGCCAGCTCAGAGCCTGGAGCCTGCTTCAGATTCTGTATCTCCCTCTCTCTCTGACCCTTCCCTGCTCATGCTGTCTCTCTCTCAGAAATAAAACACTAAAAAAACAAAAATTTAACTCAATTAACTGCCACCCCCTTCTTTGCACAAGCACATAATGGTGAAGTTCAAAAAGACCTAGGATTTCTCAACCCAATTAAAACAAAAACAAACCAAAAAAAAAAGCCCTCATAACAGGAAGTTAAGTGAGTTTTAAATTTTAGTTTCATTTAAATACACAGCCCTGGTTATATAAGGGTTGCCTCATTTTGCAGATAAGGAAATGAGACTCAGCAACTTGTCAAAGGCCACACAACTATTAAACTATTAAACATCAGTCAGGATTGAACCCCAGTCGGACTCTCGGAAGCCAAACTGCTTTCTCTCAAGCATATGCTAAAACTGCCTTGGGATGCCTGGGTGGCTTAGTCGGTTAAGTGTCCGACTTTCGCTTAGGTCATGATCTCGCGGTTCGTGGGTTCGAGCCCCGCGTCGGGCTCTGTGCTGCCAGCTCAGAGCCTGGAGCCTGTTTCAGAGTCTGTGACTCCTTCTCTCTCTGACCCTCCCCTGCTCAAGCTGTCTCTCTCTCTCCTAGAAATAAATAAAACATCTAAAAAACAAAACAAAACAAATCTGCCTCTAGTGTAGTAGAAGTAAATATCACCACTGGCAGATTAGGACATAGGTTTTAAGATACGGTGTTTAGGGGATGCCTGGTTGGTTCAGTCAGAGGAGAATGCGACTCTTGGTCTCAAGATTGTGAGTTCGAGCCCCACAGTGGGGGGCAGAGATTACTTAAAAAAAAAAAAATCTTTTAAATACATGAATACATGAAATAATGGTGTTTGAAGCTTGCATCTACACCTGACTCCAGAAACTTGAAATCTGTTTAAACCACAACATAAAATACTGGCCAGTCATGGTTACTTATTTAAATTCTATAATGCCTTGGGGCGCCTGTGTGGCTCAGTCAGTTGAGCATCTGACCATTGATTTGGTCTCAGGTCATAATCCCAGAGTTGTGGGATCAAGCCCCACATCGGGCTCTGTGCGGTGCATGGAGCCTGCTTGGGATTCCATTTCCCTCCACAGCCTTTCTCATGCCATGTGCTCTCTAGTTAAAAAAAAAAAAAAGATTCTATGATGCCTTTAACAGGCAGCATGAAGCATCCATTACTGGCGGATTTAATAATTGAGAGGCGGGCAAACAGATCATCCTAGTCGGGCCGTGCTGGAGCCTAACGACCAGCCTGAAACGTTGAGGTCTGGGGCTGAGTACTTAACAGATGGGCTTCCCAAGGGGGAACCAGAGGCTCTCCCAGCTGGACCTCTCTCCGGCACCCTCTTTGGGCCTTTTTATTACTCTGCTCGGGTCACTAAAGCACAGCAGTCGTGGCACCACCGGCTCGTCCCTCCCCCTCACTCCTGTTGGCGGTCTCTGCCAGCGAATCTCTTTCTGGCTTCTTTCCTGGACAGTTCTCATCTCACTTGGGAGTTTTCTTTAAGCATCTCACCACCACATGACGAATCAAGCAGGAGTGCATCCCGGACCCCGCGAAGCAGGGGGGTCACGGGAAACCCACCGCAGTGGTCACATTCCAGTGTCCCTCAAGTCTTCACAAAGACTCAGAGATGCTAAGTTCTGTAGTCCGGATGCATTTCCATACTTGTAGAGTTCACCCTCCATTCCAAGAGCTTCTCGCATACACTGGACCCTTAAGCACAAACCTTGAGGTATTTTTCCAGCATCTTCACTATGTGTCTGTTGTTCAGAACGCTCTTAGCCACATGCAGACTGGTTTTCTTGAACTGTTCCGCAGCCAACTGCAAAGGGAGCCAAACGCGGGTTTTCAGACCCAGTGTGCAGACCCTGAGCTGCCCAGGGGTCAGCCCCCCACAGAAAAAGAACCAACATCTTTCTTCACTGTGGCAAGTCCCCAATGTCACACTCTGATAAGGAGAGAAAGGAGGCCCTAGAGAGAGACTGGCACCAGGGCAGCGTGGAAATAAAAGCACCGGCGCACCACTGCCTGCCAGGTGCCGTGTGCACCGACCGGCAAGCCTGAAACAAGAACATTCGCACACGGGGCGCCCTGTGGACTCAGCACGGGAACAGGACACGGTTTTTCTTTTCAGTCTCTTGAGTTACTGTGATATTATAAGTAAATTCAACAGCAAAAGTGGGAATGCTGCAACCATCGGGCTATTTTCAAGCTTGGCCCATTGAAACGATACTGCTTGCTTGTATCGTGCTTTCTGGATGACCTTTAATAAACAAAGAGATGCACAGGCAGGTACCGACTTCTCCACTGGATAGTCGGGTGAACAAAAGACAGAGACTAAACCAGGGCTTGGCAAGCGGGGGGGCCACACGCGGCCACACCCACTCAGACTTTGGCTGCTGGTGCCCATCGGCAGCAGACTTGCGTTGTCAGCAGACCCCATGGCCCTCAGAGCCAGAAGTACCTGCGATGGGATCCTTTCTAAAAGATCTGCCAAAACCCTGAGTCTACACATTTAGCCTCAGGCTCCACCAGCTACTTAGGCCCAAATCCGTTCTGAACTCTGGGTCCCCCAGGCCACCATGCTCTGAATGGCCCTCAGCCTTAGCTTACAGGAAATCCCCTTTGTCAACAACTAAGAAATTCACCTGTGTGATTTATAGGGCACATTCTCAACCAGGAGAATTTCACCTACTCTGTTGAAGTCCATTGTTAATTTTTCACTTTCAACAGAAATCGGGACGCGTCTTATAATCCTTTGATGCAAGGACAGACTCAGCGGAGTAGGTTAAAAAGCTCCTAAAGATGCGAGCATTCCCCACAAGACACAGAAGCTCTGAAGCCCACTGCTGGCAGCCTGGAAGGGCTCGGCTGGCCCGGCACCCGGAGGGGACTCACCCTGCGGTTGTGATTGTGGTCGACCGAGTGCAGGTGCCGCTGGAGGAGCTGATGCTGCGCAGGGATCAGCATGTCACAAGCCAGGCAGTGAGCAGCCTCTATCTTCTTGAAAAAGTGCTCCTGGCCAATCCCTGTGGATACAACCCAAGTCTGGTACGATTTGGGACAGCATCTAGTGCTCTCCTGCTCCCCCAAAGGGCCCACATTTTGTCCTAGTGGTTAGTCCCTAAGGATCGGGTTAGGACAGAATCTGTGACCGGCATCCCCTAGCCTCCAGCAGGAGGGAGCAGACAGAAGCACACCCACATTGGGCAATTTCATTCAACTTTTTTCATCTGTCTGGTCATTTCATACAAAGGACGAGAAAACATCAGGGGGCTTAATATCACTCCGATAAGCCACCAGTGAAGTGGTGACATTCATTAGACACCTTCGAGGGCTGCTTTCCCGTTGCTAGGTGTCCCACCCAAGGGTCTTCAGGTCACGCTCGCAGCAACCCTGCGCTGGGCTGGCCTGGCACTCAGCTGCATGCCCCACGACCACGACTCACCTTTGAAAGGGTCTGGTTTGGGTTTTGTGCTTTCCTTCTCCATCAGCTCCTGACGCCGCTTCTCAATTTTCTTGTTCCTGTTTACGATGTACTCCTAGAGAAGATGGCACCGAATAAACGACAGGGCAGTGCGTCTGCCTGCCTCTCAGCCGCACAAGCGATGGTTCGGCGCAGGCGGCTGCCAAGCCCCCAAGGGAGGGCAGCCCTGGCTCGGCCGCCCCAAGGACGGGAAGACGGCCCTCCGAGCAGTTGTGTGGGCAGACCTGGAGGGAACTACAGTGGCCAGAGCGCTTGGCTCTCCCTCGGACCCGGGACTTGTACACTGTCATTCTGGAAAGCCCAGGCCTCGTGTTTCCCGACCCCTTCCCTTCTCCGTGCCGATTCCTGTAGGAGCATCAGGAAACACTGTGATGGACACCAAGTGTGCTTTACCTGAAGGAACTCCACCGTCTTGTCGGGGAGTTTGGTACTTATAAACCTCAGTGTCTCTTTGTGAAATTTGCTTTGTAGATGCTTCTGGATTTCATCTTCTTCAAAGCTACGAAACTTGCACACAGAACAGGCGAACTGAATCCTGGAGAGGGAAGACGAGAGACGCAGTGATACAATAACCAGTCCACCTCTGGTTAGAACCGAAATGGAAACGGGAAAGCAATTTCTGTACCAAGACTTCTGACCTCACATGGGGTTTCAGAGTAGCCATTACCCCAGGTTTCCCCATCTTAACAATGGAAATACAGTCTTGCAAGTATTTCAGGAAGGGATTTATGCACCTTTCCAGTCTGCTGGGCCCAATGGCCCCTAAGAGAACACCCTAAGATTTTTCCAAAACTGTGGACTCCCTAAAAGCCTTCAGACCACTACTCTGGGGGTGGGGTAGGGGTGGTAATTCTGTAACTTCTTTCTGTAGGCACTAGGATATGAGATAACTTCATTAAAAAAATTTTTTTTAAAATGTTTATTTTTGAGAGTGAGTGCATGAGCAGGGGAGGGGCAGAGAGAGGGAGACACAGACTCTGAAGCAAGATCCAGGCTCTGAGCTGTCAGCACAGGGCCCAACGTGGGGCTTAAACCCATGAACCACGAGATTATTACCTGAGCCGAAATTGGATGCCCCACCAACTAAGCCACCCAGCCGCCCCGTGTACTTTTTTTGTTTTTAAGGTTTATTTATCTCTCTCTTTGAGAGAGAGAGAGAGAGAGAACGAACATGAGCAGGGGAGGGGCTGAGAAGGAGACACAGGATCCAAAGCAGGCTCCAGGCTCCGAGCTGTCAGCACAGAGCCCGACATGGGGCTTAAACCCATGAGCTGTGAGATCATGACCTGAGCTGAAGTCAGATGCCCAAATGACTGAGCCCCCAAGGTGCCCCCGAGGTAACCTCATTTTAATGTCAGGGAGGAATTCTCAGAAGATCTTACACAACTTAAAACCCAAGATAAACTTTCCCATGGGACACAACGTAAAGACCTGTCCCATCAAATTCTACAGCTAAAACCTGGCGTCTCTTTGTGGCCTGCTCTCAAGATCTCACAAATGCAGTCACGCCACAGGGCAAGGGGAGAGCAGGCTCAGAGCCCTACGCCACCAGAGCGGGCTGCTGCTTCCCTCGCTCTGCCCAGGAGGCCCTGGCAAACATGGGGTAACAGCACGGGCCCGGTGGCGCTCAGGCGTCCTCATCTACCGGCTCACACTGCCGCCGGCCCCCAGTGCCTGGCTTCTCTCTGGATGGGGCATGACGCTTACTCTTGCAAGCTCCCCCACTGGAGGATGCACAGAAAAAGTTCTGGAGCCCTATGTGTACGAATGGGTACAACTCTCAGGAAGTGACCAAGGAAATACAGGGTTCACGCTTCCTTGTGACAATTTCTCCAAGTCTCTTTGAGGACCTTCTGTCACTAGGGTGGAGTCTAATAATCCTTCTGAAGAAAATGTCACCTCCGTTCTCATGGGGCATGGAAACAGACCTGACCTAGCCATCATTCGTTACTTACTCACTTAAAAACAAACAAGCATTTCAGGGACGCCTGGGTGGCTCAGTTGGTTAACTGCCTGACTCCTGATTTCAGCCTGGGTCACAACCTCATGGTTCAGAAGTTTGAGCCCCTCATCAGGCTCTGTGCTGATGGTGCAGAGCCTGTTTGGGATTCTCTCTCTCTCCCTCTCTCTGCCCCTTCCCTGCTTGCTCTCTCTCAAAACAAATAAACAATAACAAACATTTCAATGAATTTCTCTTTAAAACTTGGAAGTTCCTACTTTGCAGTTCCTGGCTTTCCTGCCTCTACAGTTAAGCTTTTTTGCTAACATCTGCTTTGTACTTCTCTGCACAGGAAAAACACCACCCCATGTGAGCGATAAGGGCACGGATTCCCCATCAGATCATACACAGAGCCTGGGTGTAGAGAGACTGCCATGTGCGGTCAAGGCCTGGGCAACCAAGGGCTCACAAGACTCCCAGTGGTTTCCATTCCTAGTTAGCAGCTGCTTGATTACTGAAAAGGCAGAGAGGCATATGGTGTGGTCACACCGACACCCTTTGCACTACTGCAATTCTTTTTACATCTAGAGACTAAATTTGCAAAGTAGCATCTACAGGTATACAACTGCCATGCCGAACCCCAGAGGCAGTCCGGATCTGGACAACCCCCCCCCCNGCAATTCTTTTTACATCTAGAGACTAAATTTGCAAAGTAGCATCTACAGGTATACAACTGCCATGCCGAACCCCAGAGGCAGTCCGGATCTGGACACCCCCCCCCCCGCCCCCCCCCCCCAAGCACCTTCTTAGCAGCTCTGCTGAAGTTCACTTGTCTGGGGTGACAGATACAAGCAGGGAACGGGGAAACTCCCTACAGGTCAGCAGGAGAGCAATGGCGCCGCCTGCTGGACACACGCGGGGCAGCGACCCACTGGCAAGAACGTAGTGCCGTCGCCATTTCCCAAGTTTTGTCTCCTCTGGACCTCACTCGGATGTCCTGTCTCCTCTGGACCTCACTCGGATGTCCTGACAGACCCCGGAGTCAGATCAAACCAGGCTGCTCCTCACTGCGCAGTGAAGACAGACGAGCTCAGGAGGACCCTGCCAGTGCCCAGGTCCCCACCCACGCCCCCCACCGGGCCTGCCCCCTCACCTGTCGGCCGCCCGGTCTCGCATGCGGTCTCTCCTCCTTTGCTTTTCCTTTCTCTTCTTTACTTCGTCATCCTCGTCGTCCTTCTCTCCTGTAACAGACAAGTCCCTTCGAGACGCCCTGAGGAGCCTGCAGAGGAGCTGAGCACCAGGGCCTTGATGGGGACCACGGCTGGGCCACCACACCCCGTGCCTGCCGCCGCCTCCACACACGGCAGGGTCAGGACACCCTGAGGCACCAATAGTCTGTCAAAGGCCCCCAGCAGGGATAGGCCTTTGAGGAGGACCCTTGGGAGTTCCCAGGGAGTCGCCTCACATGCCCCCACGGTGTGACGAGGCTGGGGTGGGTCCCACGCACACCACGGCCCACCTGCTGTCTCTGTCCTTCCCTACCCGGCTTTTCTGATCCAGCGCCCTGCCATCGGGTCTCCTCCCCAAGTCACTTAAGGAGAGAGAGAAGCGATTCTTCCCAGATAAGAGGCAGCAGCGGGGAGGCCTCAGAAAACAGAGCGAGCAGCTCTACCGCCCTCCGTCCCACCTCTCGGTGGACCATGACGACTGTCCCGTCAGCCTCCTCTGAACTAGGGCCTCAGCAGGTCTGACAGTCCTTGCTGGCCCGAACTCTATCTTCCACTCACAAAAACCGTCCATCTAGGGCTTTCCCAGAGCTACGAGGGAAGCAGTCCTAGAAACAAAAGTGGGAAGAGACCAATCGGTCCTCCGTCTGTCCCCTGGGGCCAGCGCCAGGGGCTCGTCTGAGCGCTCTGCAGCCCAGCGTCCCAGCATGAGGCCGGGCCAGGTCACCGCGGCTCAGGGCCAGACACTGAAAAAAGGTTGGATAAGCATCTGAACTGTAACCCCTACCCCTGATGCCAGTCACGAGACTGTCCCACGAAGATGGCGACCGGCGTGCGCTGCTCAGAAGCCTCTCAAAAGGGCGTGTGGGATTTTTGGCAAGAGGTCACTGCCTGAAACTATTACTGTTGTTTAATAGCAAAGTCATCCCGGGTAGGTAGCAGGACCTGCGCGCAATAAACATGTCACCTTTGCTTTAGCATTTACCCTGCTGCACGAGCTGCAAACTGCTCTGTGTGGTCCCAAGCTATAGGAATGATCACTTCGATCAACAAGGTGGGAGGGCCTCATAGGGTTGGCCAAGCCCAAACACACAGGAGAAGGAGCATCTAAGCCAGGAGCCTGCAGGTTTATGGGAGCAGAGCCACAAAGGAGCCAGCCTGTGGTTCTTGGGGAAAACCAGCTATGGACAGACCCATGGGAACGGGAAAAGAAACAAACGGCTTCTGGGTAAGCTCAAGGCCACGGTGTCTCGGGCTGCTTCTCCACGCCCCCCTGAAAGGGTTTAACCTTGCTCTGCTCTTGCCGCTTACTTTGGACTCTTAGGTCTCCCACAATGGCCCTGATGAGACCTGCTGAGCAAGGAGTATCTCTGGAGGATCCGGGCTTGGGTGCCCTTGACAGGCCTTCCTCCCTCCCACCCCCCCCTTCCAGCCCCCAACCCGGGAAGGTGTCTGAGCAGCCATGTGCGCTGCTGCTGCCAGCACGCCCACCACAGAGGCTGAGTGCACAACCCTGGGCTGGCAACGGAGGGAAGTGTGAAAAGAAAGCAGCCCAGGAAAAAAACAGTACAGGGACCTGCAATAGGCCAATAGGGAACAGAGCAGACAGGCTGGAGAGCACCTTTTCTTTTCTTTTTTTGCGTTTCTGAGACTCTCCCTTCCCTACCGCTGCAAGCCGCTGCACACACTCAGAGCTGAGGTTTGCCCCCTCTCTCGACAGCCTATATCGAGTGAGGCAAACAGACCTGTTTCCAGCAAGTGCTGCTCTAAGCACTGGAGCAAAGCCTGGGGGTGAGCACCACGACCAAGGCCCACCTGGTGGCCACAGCCCCTCTTCTGCCCTGAGCTGCCAGGCCCCCCGTCCAGGCCCCGGGCTTGCTCAGAAGTGCAGCCTAGCCGGGACCCGGGTGGGCAGTCACAGGAAAGCTCAAAGGGACATGCAGCGATGCCTACCTCTCTGCCTCCCGGAGTCAAAGAACTCGTCCTCCTGAAAAAGGGCACATAAAGGTGGACAGTGAGGTGGAGTTTCCAGAACTCTCCACAACCAGCCTAGCACGCTGCCACCACCCGGTCACAATGTGTTAGGACAAGTGCCAGGGCAGTGGGATAGATGCTGGGGGTGTCCTGTCACTATTCTTGGTTGCCTTCTGAGCTTGTGTAATGACAAACGTACTTTTTCATTAAAGTCAGTGGCCCTCTTTCAGTTCTTTCTAAAGAATTTCCTCTAGCCGCCACATGGGAAGGCCAGCAGCCCATCCATCGGCTCTGTGTCAAGAAACCCTCATTTGCAGGATGCTAGTTCCAACCCTCTATACCAAAAAAGAGATTTACCAAGTTTCCAGGCCATTTGTTTATATTTACCAAGGTTATAACAAATGCATCTAACTGAAACTCACAATACTCCCCATTTTTTAGCCATCAAGCTCAATATTAAATTACTCAGCAGCAGATAGAGATTCCCAGACTCAAGATCTAGGCAAGCCAGATCAGGAGCAAGACACTCACTCCCAGAAAGCTGAAAATCCACTGTATTCTGCCTCCCCAACCCCCCACCCATCTGACCATTAGCAGCACTTGGCTGAGACCTTCACATAGCCAGATCTCCAGGCCCTGGCCTAGACACGAATCAGAATTTGCAGGGGTCGGGGTGGGGGGCGCAAAGGCGGACTACCTCGGTGCTTGTGCATGGTCATGGCTAAGAGCTGGCCCTAAATGCCTGTCTCTCATGACCGGTTTTTAAGGCGGAAGGACATGGACGCAGCTCAGCACCAGCACAGAGCTGGCAGTAAGTAAGGCTTCCAGGCCTGTCTGAAAGCCTCAGCCACATGCATGGTTAGGTGCATCGCTGAGGACACAGGAGTGTCTGTGGGGGAGGGCTGGGAGTGTTTTCAGGAAGGGAAGGACGGTTTGTATGTTTGAGAGAGAGAGAGAGACAGACAGTGCGCACAAACGGGGGAAAGGAGAAGTGGGAGAGAGAATGCCAAACAGGTTCTGAGTTGTCAGTGCAGAGCCCGACACAGGGCTCAATCCCACAACCCTGGGCTCATGACCTGAGCAGAAATCAAGAGTTGGACACTCAACCGAGCTACCTGGGCGCCCCAGGAAGGGAGGTGCTGTTACAAATACAAATTTCTGGCTGCAAGTCAGCCTCTTAAATCCGCTCACACAATAGTCAAGTCTACCACAGATGCTGCTCCTGCCTCTGGGAGAAAGAGAGTAATGTAAAGAAGGGACCCCACACCGGAAACAAAGGAGGCTGACCAGTGAGGTTGGACTTACACCCCTGAATTCTTCATCTCCCGACCGGAAGTCAGCAGCCCCATCATCTACCGGACACAAGGAAGAGGGAAAATCAGCCCCGCAGTAGCTAGCCCACTCTGTTCCCACCCTCCCGAGCTCACTGCCCAGAGCAGCCACTTGTCCTGACGGCAGTGGGGGCCGTGGGAGTGCAGGCGATATGTGCCACCCTGGAGTTCAACCCACGTCCACTGCATGGACGGGCAGGCAGAGCACCAAGCACAAAACGGACACATCTCACACCCACCCGGGCCTGCTGGCCCCCAGGGCATACCATTTTCAGAAAAATCTCCTTCGCTGTCAGCCCGGGCCAGTTTGGTGTCAGGCTCGTCGTAGATCTGCAACTGCTTCCGCTTCCTGCCCATGCCATCTGGGCCACAGCGATCAGACCCTCTCCGCCTGGGCTACAGACACAAGCACATCCGATGTACCGCTTACCCAGACCATTAAGAAACCCCAGAGAAATGAAGAACAAAGAAGTTGTAAGATCAGAGAACAAAGGCAGGAAAGATCTTTGATCTTTGCAGAAAACAAAGAAAGAAAGATGACACAGTTGAACTCCGCCCCCACCCGCAATTTTACGCTAAGCAAAGAAGTCGGATGCAAAAAGCCACATATTATGTGATAACGTTCACGTGAAAGGCCTGGGAGGGGTAAAGCTACAAAGGCAGAGAGATTAGCCGTTGCCAAGACTGGAGGAGAGAGCAGGGAGTGACTGCTAAGGGCAGAGGTTGGCTTCTTTCTGGATTGATGGAAATGCTGAAAATTAGACGGTGGTGAAGGCTGTGCATTTGTGTACGTTTTTACTAAAACTCAATCGTACACTTAAAAATGAGTGAATTTTACAGTGTCCGAATTCCCAAGTTTTCCTCAATAAAGTTGTTTGTAAGTTGGCAGATTAGAGCTTCCCAAGGGCTTACCCGATCCCTCATCCGGGTCTGTGACCGGCCGCATCCATAGGGCCCAGAGTTGTCGTAACCGCTGGCCCCCTGCATGCCCATCACACTGAAGTCCGGGGCCATGGACTGGGAGAAGAGGGATGGCGGTGGCCTGCTGGGGGAGGGGCCTCCCAGGCCCCGTCCACCCACGTAGTTCAGCTCCGGCCAGGGAGCAGACAGGGGCTCCGAGGAGGCTGCTGGCGGCAAGAAAGGGTCGCTGCGCATGAAGGCGCTGGGGGTGCTCCGGTCCTGGAAGCGGCCCTGGCCCTGGCCCCGGCCCCGCATGAAGCCATCAAGGGAGCCCCGCTCTCGGGCTGGGTCCCGGCAGTCACTGTATTGACTGCTAAAGCCACCATTCCGGTCAGGGCCCAGGTCAAAGTCATAGTCGTAGCTGTAGCTGGGGCGGTAGGGCTGGTGCTCGGGCAGACAGGGTCTGGAGTCATAGGACTCAAACGACTGGAAGCGGAAGGAGCTGCAAAGGAAGCAGAACCATCACCACAGTCTGGGCACGTGTGCAAGTCTCCCACAAAGCTGGCTCTCCACATTCAGAACAGCACACCACACCACCACGCAGCCCTCCTAAGTGCTCGGAAGGCAAAACCCACCAACAATCCCCCTTCGACATTGTTGAACGAGGTGCATGGAGCCCTTGGCTCTGAGAGCGACAGGGTCTACAGGTACCTGACGCAGAAATAAGTTAAGGAGTCTGGTGTCGTTCAGCTAACAGTCATACCCTAAGCCCCACCACTCGGGAAGCCAGGGAGTCCAAGCACAGTGCCTCTGCCGGTAACACCCAACTCATCCACTCCATGTTCAGGAGGGAGCCGAGGAACATCCTCGCTGGAAGAGGGGGTGCCCACTGCCATCTGCACAAAGCTGGGGTGTGGGATCCCCAGGGAAGGGCTCAGGTCCATAATCACCTCTCCCGGTCCTGCATGCCCTCCCCACCGCCGCTGCTCCCGCCCCTGCCTCCTTCCTTGGACATCATGTCCAACCGCTGATTGATCTTGGCAATGAGAGAGTCGGAATTGTCGGTACACGGCTCTGGGCCATAAGAAGCCATGTGCATGGCAGGGCCCCCAGCCCCCAGGCCGTCGCTGGCCTTGGTGGCCTCCCACGAGGCTGGGCCATAGTTGTAGGTCGCTCCTGTGGGGACGCTGGTGTTCTGGGCACCGTAGTAATTGTAGTTCTCATAACCTGCCACAGGGAGGAAGAGCACATCAGACCTCAGTGGCCACAAGGTCAGTCTACAGCAGACCGTCCGGAGAGAAGCACCCACTGCCCACAGGGAAGGAAGACTGTCAAGGAACCACGGGCGCTGGTGTCAGCCCACACCGTGAAGCTCACCCACCAAGAGGCAGCAGGACATGGGCAGGGGCTGAGCCTCAGCCACAAGTGGCTGGCTTTCTGCACCAGATCGGAGCGCTTGCTCCCCACCTGAAGCCAGAGGTGGCTGCGAGCCCATGAATGGCAGTTGGGGCTGCTGCTCCCAGAACACAGCCGCAACCCCTGCTGCCAGCAAGTTCTCTGTGACACTGCCTGGGCCTGCCAAGCCTTCGGGAGAGCTGTAGGCACAGCCAGGATGGGACATCGTTGGGGGGTGGGGGGGGGGGTAGGTCTCTGTATCCCAGTCCCTCTGGGTGGCCGATCAGAAGCCTTCTTCTGCACCCACAGACCACCAAAGGGCCTACCTTGCCAGCTGGCCACACCAGTTCCATATGCACCTGAGAAGAAACAAAAACACACAGGAGCTTTGTTTATAGAATGAAAGTGCCTGAGACACCCCCACAGCCCCAACTGTCACCTTACTCTGCCACTCGCAGGTCTAGGGCTACAGGCAGCTGTGGCAGTATTCTGGGTGGCACCCCCGATTGGCCATTAAGGCCAGGAATGGCTGTGGCCCACTAGCTGTAAAACTCACTTCCTACAGAGCACTCTGTTAAGCATAATGGAGACTTCTCTCGTGGGTAAGCCTGATCTCCCCCATCAGGACAATGAGAAAGGACAGTGCAGCCTTCCCAGGAAATGTCCAGGCACCAGCCAAGAGGCAGACAGGGCTAGATCCTCTGGCAGAACCCTTCAAAGGTGCCAGTTCTCACCATGCGCCAGAGCTCAGGCACCGCTAACACAGTGAGTACATCAGTGGAACATCATGTCCCCAACTCAACTGAGCAAGGTCTAGGGCTATGTACCTGAGTGACATGGAAGGCCTCTTCCTGGGAAACTTGGTGATGGGAGAAAAAGTGACCCTACCACCCCCAATGGTGCCGGGGGCCAACGCCAGGCTCAGAAAACAAAGCAAGCCCTCATCCCACCCTCTGGAATGAGTGCTGGCAAAAGGCAGAAAACCTCGCCACCAGGGAGGACATTGTGGTCTTTTCAACGTACCAAGCACCCAGCATTGTGATCTAGATTCCAGAGCAGGGCCAGCAAAAAGGCCTCCAGGCCCAGTCTAGCCCACTGCCTGTTTTTGTACAGCAAGCAAGTGAAAGATGGGTTTTAGTTTTGTAAATGGTTGGAGGAGGGGGGGGGGGGGCAGTATTTCATGGTGTGAATTTTGACATGAAACGTATCATTTATATATTTGTCAAAACTCACAGAACTGTGCAACCACAGTGACTACTAATATAAACTGTGGGCTGTAATTAACGTATCGACACTGATTCGTTACTGATAATAAACGTATTGCACTAATGCAAAATATTAATGATGTGGGAAACTGCTGGGGTGAACGCAGACTTTCTGCTCAACCCCATCAAGTCTAAAACCACTTAAAAAATAAAGCCTATTACCCTCCTACACTGTTGGTGGGAATGTAAACTGGTGCATCCCCTCTGGAAAACAGTGTGGAGGTTCCTTAGGAAACTAACAATAGAACTCCCCTATGACCCAGCAATAGCACTGCTAGGAATTTACCCAAGGGATACAGAAATGCTGATGCATAGGAGCACATGTACCCCAATGCTCATAGCAGCACTCTCAACAATTGCTAAAACATGGAAAGAGCCTAAGTGTCCATCAACGGACGAATGGATCAAGAAGATGTGGTTTATCTATACCATGGAATACTACGTGGCAATGAGAAAGAATGACATCTGGCCATGTGTAGCAACATGGATAGACCTTGAGGATGTTATGCTGAGCAAAGTAAGTCAGGCAGAGAAGGACAAATATCATATGTTTGCACGTATAGGAGGATTAGGAGGAACTTAACTGAGGACCATGGGGGAGAAGAAGGGGGGAAATGGTGGGGGAAAGGAAGAGAGGCAAACCATGAGAGACTCTTGAATGCTGAGAACAAACTGAGGGCTGATGGTTGGGCAGAAGGGAAGGGTGGAGGAGGGCACTTGTGGGGATGAGCACTGGGTGTTATATGGAAACCAATTTGACAATAAAGTATTTGTAAAAAAAAAAAAAAAAAAAAAGAAAGAAAAGAAAAAAAAAGAAAGCCTATTAATCGCAAAAGTCTATCATACCCACAGCTATTTGCTCTGAATAGAATAACAAACTCCTAAAATAAAGGCTACTTTGCCACGTAACAAAATTATATGGTATGCAAATTTCAGTGTCCTTAAGTATCACTGAAAAACAAGCACGTTTGTTTGTTTATAACCCCCTCTGGGACTTTTGGGCACCAGAGACTGTGTAGCCCCGAAGCCCAACTACGCGGCCCTTTACAGAACAGGCCTCCTCCAGACCCTCGGGCTAGCCCTGGGGTGCCGGTCCAGCTCTCCAGGTATAGGTCACCATCCCTGGCCCTGGTGGGCGAGGCCGTCAGGCGTGTGGGGTTGAGGCCACACCTCCCCGTGAGGTCTTACCTTGGGTGTTGGCAGGTCCAGCACTCCATGCCCCATAGCCTGCCAAGAAAAGACCTGTGAGTTAGGATCCTATGTGTCACATGGAAAACTTCTGAGGGGCCTAACATGGTCGCCTTGTAGGAGAGTTTGGTGCCGGCCTCACAAGAAGGCAGCGTAATGACGACACTGTCCCTCTAACAGTACTGAGCAGGTTGATCGCATGACCACACTCTGCAGGCCTGAGGTCACAGCAGGCAAGAGTGAGGGGAACAGGCTTTGCGGCCAGCTCTGCCAGCGGCCTGCGGACGGAGCCTGGCGTGAGCCTGGCTCCACGTGTAAGAATGACACAGGACAAGGTGCCAGCTAACCCAGTACTAGGATACAGCTGTGCCCACATCCCCAGCGTGGCCCACCCACCAAGCAGCTGTAAATCCCCCATAACTGAGAGCAAAGTTCAGAATTTGAGGACAACTGTGTCTCTCTAGGCTTCACTTCTTGGTGACTTTGGACCCTCCCATGCTCCCGGGGCTTAGGTCCCAGGACTTCAGCCTGGCCTAAGGCATCCAGGCTCCCCTCGCCCCTGCAGACTCCCATGACAGCATCTGTCTGGGCCCTCGTCATTTTTGTGTCCCTGGAGCCTGAGACAGAGCTGGGCACAGGCAGCCATCCGCACCTGCCAATGATCCTCACCTTTACAAAACAGGAACATAACCTGTGTCTCTTACCAGAATGACTCAAGCCACTAGCCAAGTGCCCAGCGCGTGCCCACCTATGACAGGCAAGGGGCACATGTTAGTCAGTGTCCCCGAATGCCATTTAGAGAAGAGAAAGCTAAGGCTTGGAGATTTGGAGACGCATTGCTGAAGTTTGCCCTTTGCAGGCTACAGTCTCCCATGCCGCGCAGCCTTCTATATCTGCGCGGGAGAAAGACTAGCAATCCTTACAGGAAGTGACCAAACACAGGGCGCTAGTCTAAATACCATCCACTAACCATATAACCTCCTAACACCCCTTCAGATGGATAATATTTACCCTATTGTCCCCAGAGGCTCAAGAGGCTGGCACTTGCCCATGATCACGGGGCTGGAGAATGGAAGAACTGAGACATGAACTCAGATCTAGGTGCCGCCTATGGCCAGGGAACAACTGTCAAGGCTCAGCAAGTCTTGAGAAATAGAACTCCAAGTGGAAAAGCCACAGAGGAACTCAAGGAGGCCCCAGCATTTGAACTAAACCTGAAGGGTTTGGGTAGGTAGGAAGGCAGGGGCATATAACCTCTTCGTGCTCAGGGAGTGCAGAGGGCAGGGTAACTGGCTGAAAGATCTGGTGGGAAGCGGACAAAGAACTGTGACACCCAGTCAGATGCAGACAAAACGGGGAAAGGAAGGGTGAGCCACCCCGGAACACCAGGCACCTCAACAGCTCTCTTGCAATTCCTGCTGCTGGATCCTAACACTGCCACCTTTGGAGATCAGTGCCTTCTCTAGCTGTTGCAGGTGACACCAGACTGCTTGCTTCTCCAACCTCAGATGCTTGGATAGAGGGAGCACTTGGTCAAGCCCCTACCCCACGTATTCCACCTTCAACTGCTCCCCGCGGACAAACTTGGCTTCCGGCACGCAGCAAAAGCATCCTAGGAATCTCGGAATCTGGACAGTGAGAGCTGGTCGCTCGAGAAGATCCGTCCTGCCGCAGACCCTGAGGCCCGAGCGGGGATAAGGCACGTCCCCTCGTACACAGACCCCAGGCACCTCCAGGACACAGCAAGGGGCTGCCTGAAGGCAGGCCAAGAATCCGTCACCACCCCAGGGCACATCAGGTTTGCAACTCTGCACAAGATCCCCAACACTTGACCCTCGAAGTCCGGTCCTAGGCCAGCACGAGTCGTGTACGCGGCAGGCGCCCGCCGACACTAGCCCCTGCAGAGACCGCGCGCGCACCGGCGGGGCAAGGTCCACCCAGCGCCTCCCAGACGGCTTCCGGGACCTGCGCGACGCACCACGTGCCCCGCGCGCAGGCCCCGGCCAAACCCCACAGCCCCGAGACGCGCAGCCGAACTCCCTCGGCCTCCAACCGCGGACCCCGCGCCCCACGAGCTCGTGCCGTGGCTCCGCCCCCGGGCGCCGCCATTTTGTGGTCTGCCGAAGCGGGAAGGCGGGCCTCGGAGCGGCGGGGTCGGCCGGGCCAGTCTCGCCGGAGCGGAGGGGTAGAAACGGCTCGGACAGCCCAAGGCGCCCCCCGAAGCCCGCCGCAACGTCGGCCCGCCGCACCCCGCCCGCCTCCTCAGGCCTCGTCGGCCAATCCGCACGCAGCACCCTGGGAGCGACGACTCCGAGGTCCAATGAGCAGCGCGCGCGCCCCGGCCTCCTCTCCGCTGCGTCGGGCTGGAGTAACCGTGCTCGGGCGTAGGCCCCGGCCCCGCGGCCCTCTACGCAGCGGTGGCTGCGTCGCCCGAGCAGCGCCCGTCCACCCCACCCCGAAATGAATCGCCCAAACGAACCTCCGTAGCCTTGCTCCATGTCTTCAGCGCGGCCCGCCAGCAGCCCCTTTTTCTAGGCTGCCACAGGACGCATGCGCTCAACACACTTTCCGCCGTCCGCTACTGGAAGGCCAGGCGCATACGTCACTCCTTCCGCACACCACCACTGGCTGGCTTTCGCTGCGCACCCGCCCGTCGCCCCCGTTGGCCTTCCGGTTGCTTGGAATCGGCTTTCACAGCATCTTGGGAGTTTTGGTCCGGACACGGAGTCCTACTCTGCGCAGGCGCTTCCCTCTACCTCCCCGCCCCCAGTGCGCAGTCGCACCCCCACCCTTTCCCGGATCCCGCGCGCAGGCGCAGACCGCTCCCCACGGCGTCTGCCGTGCCGCAATAAATGAACGAGGAAAGTGGGATGGAAAGAGCTTTATTAGGCTCGGCTTCCAGCCTTGTCCACGCGGGTCCCGCCCGCCCCGGGCCCGGGTCACTGTGCGCCCCCACCACCCTCCTCGTCGTCGTCGGCCTCCACGTCGAGGCCCGGGATGCCGCGGATCTGGCGCTGAAGCGCCCCGCCCAGTAGGGGCAAGGCCTCCTCCTCCTCTTCGGGGGGTGGCGGCGGTGGTGGGGACGTGGCCCCAGGGGCCGGCTCTGGAGGCACGGGGGGCGGCGCCGGCGCGCCCTCTGCACCCTCCGCACCCCCTGCAGCTTCTACCAGCGCCCCGTCGTCCAGGGCGCCGCCCTCGGCCTCCTCCTGCTCCTTCTCCTCTTCGGGGCTATCCGTGAATGGGTTCTCACCCTGTGGGGGGAGGGACGCGGATACTGAAGGGAGGGCCCGCGCGCGGTCCGGGGGGGAGGGGGGGGCCAGGGGGAACCCAGGCGGCGCGCCTCACCTTCAGGTAGCGCTCCAGCTTCTTGCTGATGATTTTGTTGTTGAGGATGCTGCGGGCCACCATGAGCGAGGACTTCTTGGACTGCTCCATCATGAGCTGCAAGCAAGGCAGGCAGGGCTGGAGAGGCTGCTCTCAGCGCCAGAAAGCCCCCTTCCCCCACCCCCAACCCCTCTACCCTGAGCCCAGGGCTCTGGGTAACCACGTGGCATTAAGTGGACAAATGTACCTTAGGTACAAGCACGGACCCTAGACCTGATCTTTGCTCAAATGCTCCATTCTTCTACATCGTACTTACTGTTAGACAAGTCTTTACCGTTGTACAGCAGCAATCTGACGTGCTCACATAAAAACTACAGTGAACAAATTAAGAAACCTAAATGCCAAAGGTGCAACCCATCACAAGAAGCCAACCGCCCATAGGCAAGGAACTCGTTAAGACCAACGGGGAATATAAAAGTAGGAATACAAATGTCAAACAGCACATTTAAGGGATACACCTTTTAACTCACAGAATTCCGAAGATGAAGAATTATACCCCAAATGTTAAGGGTGAAGAGCGACAATTCTACCTTTGATGGTGAGAGGGCCAACTGTTTACTTACTTTCTGGAAAGCAGTTTAAATAAAATGTGTCAAAAGTAAAAATCTGTCTCTATTTCTTTACAGGAATCTATCCTAAGTTTAAGACTTGGAAACATTCACACACATGGTTGCAGTAGTGAGAAACTGGAAAGCACCTACATATTCTGTTAAATAAATCATACATTCCAAAGATCACCATGCAGTCCGTAAATAGGGCTCATCCCCGCCCGCCCCTGTGTGGTAAGAAAGGTGTGTGATGGGCCAGGGGGTACACAGAGTGCCAGAGCCTTTCTGTCTGAAATGCTAGGTGGTTCCCTCAATGGCCCGGAGTACAGGCAGCTCTCACTTTCATCATTACAAAGGTTATGCATAAAGCTGTAAGCCGGAAGAAAAGGATGAAAGCTATTTTTGTTGGCAAGGTGAGGAGGGGCCCACCTGCAAAGACCCTACTGCCGCAGCCCAGCTAACTCTATACGTCCTCTCCCTTGCTGTTCCTACTCCCGTTCCGAACCTTCACTTCTTTACTCATTTTCACTGCTACTTGGGGAAGATATGACTGAACTCAAGCACACTCAAAATGAAACAAATTAAAGGTATGCAATTAGGATACTGGGTCAGCCCACTTCCTCCGCAGTTCCTCACTTGCCAACACATTACCGTCCTCCCTGTACGCACAGAGAGGTACACCCAATTCCCAGCTGAAGCCCATTTACACGGTTTCCAGGTTTTTGCTACAATAACCCAACACCGCCAAAATAACCTTAAATACTTTCATGCTGGTGCTTTTAATTCTACCAAACAGGTTCCCCAAAGTGACGGCCCCAGCACTCTGCAAAAAACGTTGTAGTAATTATTATTATTAAATTATGGAAACATTATTATTATTAAAACAATGTACTTCTCCTTCTGTCTCCTCAGGAGCCTCAGATGTTATCACTGTTGGATACTTCTGGGGTCCAACGAAAGAGAAAAGAATGTGTGCTGCCTCTCATGACATTTCCCCTGCCCGACAGCAAAATCTGAGTGATCTGATACGCACGCTGGGCCACCTGCCCAGCGTTTCTATGAGGTCATCTTTTCCACAACCTCTGGGTTTCCTGGCTTGCTCTCAGGAAGGCTTTCTGTAACCTCAAGGTAAACAAACAATCTTCTAAATTTTGCTATCTTTTCTTTTTCACGTGTATGATTTCTGGAATTGAATATATGGTATCAGGTTAGGGGTCCAACTTTCAGCTTGCTTTTGCAGAAATTTATGAGATGAACTATTCTCTGTTGAATTGACATATGGGTCTATAATCCCTTCTCCACAAATTTGAAACCCAGAAGGAAAAGTTTTCCCTTTAAACTCCATTATGTTTTTATACAATCTTTATTTATCCCACTTATATAAGTCACTTGAAGAATTACCTATGGTTCAACTACAAGTCACTTTCCCAGAGCCCGCTAGGGATCTTAGCGATCATTACCATGTAGCTGTTCTGAAAACAAAAAAATGATTTGAAAACATCTGGCCCTAGGATTTTGGATAAGGAACCTATATCGACTTTATCAGTTACTAAGCTCCAAAACATACTGGGATCTTTCATTAGACACTCTCATCTGGTTCTACCATTTTATTACTATGCCAACATCACTTTTTGTTTTTAATTGCAGTGGCTTTCTAAAAACTTATTACCTGCTAAACCAAGTCTCTGAACTCAGCTACCGCCCTTTGTATAAATTTTCTTGACTGTTAGACTTAATGCTACAACATAAACTTTAAAACATTTTCATTCTGTCCCCCTCCTCAGAGTATGAATGGAATCCCATTAACTGTCCACATTAATATGTGGCAGATGTTTTTGTTTTCTTCTGCTATTAAGTCTCTTATGAAGAACACTGCATACTTCTCTATTCATTGAAGTCTTATTTCATATCCTTTGAGTTTAAGATCCCATACCTGTCTTCTTAGGTCTATATTCCTAGTTATTTTATGCATCTTGTAGTTGCTGTGAGTAGATTTTTCCCCATTTATATTTCTAACTGGGTATTACTAGAATGAAGACAATTTATTACTTTTCTGTATGTTATTTTGAATTCCACATCTCTTTGTCAAATTCTATTAAGTCTAAGGCCACTTTGCTGTAATCATTCAGCTTTTCTAAGGCTATAATCAGATTATTTGCATATAAAGTTTTCATTTCCAGTATTTCACACTGATAGTTGCTAATTTCTTTTTTTTTTTTTTTAATTTTTTTAGTGTTTATTTATTTTTGGGAGGCAGAGAGATAAAGTGCAAATAGGAGAGGCACAGAGAGAAGGGGAGAGACAGAATCCAAAGCAGGTTCCAGGCTCTGAGCTGTCAGCAAAGAGCCCGATGTGGGGCTCGAATCCATGAAGCGTGGGATCATGACCTGGGCTGAAGTTGGACACTCAACCGACTGAGCCACCCAGGCGCCCCAATAGTTGCCAATTTCTTATCAAACCATCCTTGTATTCCAGAAACAAATTATAGTGTATTACTTGCTTGAACTGAATTGAATACACTAGATTGGTAATTAGTAATTTATACTTAGCCCTTTTATTTTTTTTTAAGATTTTATTTTTAAGTAATCTCTGCACCCAATGTGGGGCTCGAACTCACAACCCCGAGATCAAGAGTCATATGCTCTCCTGACCAAGTCAGCCAGCTCAGTCCTACTTAGCACTTTTATTATTATTTTTTTAATGTTTTATTTATTTTTGAGAGAGAGATAGACACAGTGTGAGCAGGAGAGGGTCAGAGAGAGGGGGAGACACAGAATCCGAAGACAGGCCCCAAGCTCTGAGCTAGCTGTCAGCACAGAGCCTGACACGAAGCTCGAACCCATGAACCGTGAGATCATGACCTCAGCCAAAGTCGGACGCCCAACTGACTGAGCCACCCAGGCGCCCCAGCACTTTTATTCTTTAATAATAAACTGATCTAGGGGCGCCTGGGTGGCTCAGTGGGTTAAGCATCTGACTTCGGCTCAGGTCAGATCTCACAGTTGGTGGGTTTGAGCCCCACAGCTCAGAGCCTGGAGCCTGTTTCAGATTCTGTGTCTCCGCCTCTCTCTGCCCTTCCCCCACTCATGCTCTGTCTGTCTCAAAAATAAATAAACTATAAAAAAAATAAAAAAAAAACTGATCTACAGTTTCATTACGGCATTTTCCTTATCAGAGTTTTGGAATGAAGGTTAAAACATCTTCCTAAAAATGCACGAGAGGATGAACTTCCAGCATGGCAACCTGACAAGCTATGGGGCACTGCTCCCTGGTGAAACTGATGAAGACTATAAAACACTACAACCCTTTCAAGTCAAGGGAAATGGTCCTAAGGATATACACCGAATGAAGAAACACTACGTAAGGAAAAGCTAAAACTCAGTAAAGATTGTGAGCTGTGGTGGTTTAAACATGGCCTGTTGCTTCCCTGCCTTCCCCAGCTCATCACAGTTGGAAGGCTGCATCTTCCCAGGAGGGACGTGGAACGTCAGCGATTCTCTTTTCGAGCTCCCTGCTGCAGTAGCTACGTTCTGGGCAAGTTCATGGGAGATGCTGTGGCGCCCTTCTTTTCTCCAGCCCCCATTCATTGGCTCGTTCATAAAGCTGAGCTCCCGGGCCTTGGAGAGGCAAACCAAAGCAAGACCAGAGGCTACA